TTATTTTTATTTTTTTCCTAAACTGTTTACAGTGTACTTTGTTATATTTTTATTTCAAGTTCAAAATAAAATAGTCAATCTATCAATTAATTAATCTTTAATAATTCATAAAATGCAGTACAATACATAATTTATATGAATTCACAATAATTAATAATTGATCATTACTGAATCCAAGTAAGTAAAATAAGGGCAAAAAACAAAGCAGAACTACACACTCTCATGAAAAACAAACACAAAGGGAAGAGAAATCATTATCTAACTTAAACACATTATTGAAGAAGACAAAGGTCTCCTGCTATGTGTGTCCTATTTAAGTATTGGTCTCATAAAAAGAAGCGTTTTTCATTAATAAAGACAAAATAATTTGAGGCTTCTTGAATTAAAATGCAAGTTTATATTGAAATGGATCCTAACAGAATGATCTTGCTGTTGTGTCTAATATATAGACTTCAATTATAAAGTAAAGTCAAGTAAAATCTAAATTTGATAGTCACTCTCTTTACTGAGACAAACCAAACTCATCACTGTTGAAAATTCATCACAGAAAATATTTGCTAAATCCATTGAAGTTAGCACTCTTTAACAGGTTACGTTTAGCTTACAACTAAATGCAGCACAGCAGTAAACAAAAAGAAAAAACCCCCACAAAAAGCAGATATACTTTATGAAAAATATGGAATGAATCAATAAGGTGCTTTTTAAAGGTTTGATATAACATTAGGTCTTTTTTTATACAGTTTTGGAAACAAACAGACTGAACTATGGACACTTCTCTTTGGGCCTTTTCTTTTCTGGAAGTTTCTGCCAGCTCACCTTTACGTCATCAGATGTCCCTCCCAACGTCTTTTCAATCTGTGTAACAGAAACGAGGATTTAATTGTTGCCCTGTATTTTACAGATTCTCTGGGTAAAGATTAGAAAGTTGTCTCAGTGGAAAAGTAAGCTGCGTGTTTAAAAATTTGACTGTTTAGAGAAATAAGCATGTCTGTCTGGGAATTAGGCAAGTAAATTACCTTACTTGAACAGTACAGAGAAATCTCCATCAACAAATACGAACATCTTGAAGATGAAACTTTACTCTGCATTTAAGAATTCTATAGACGTTACCCATTTCAAGATGTTCTCCCTCACAACGGGGTCTGTCATGTCCACTTGGGAGTTGACATCAGCCAGATTCAGTTTCACCGAGAACTTTTTCCGTGAAGCTGGTGAGATCATAAAATTCTCTTTAATTTTAGTTCATATCTATACAGTTTATATAATTACAGTCACCACCAACATTGGCAATATTTCTAACAGTGGTGTTTATGTGGGTGTCTCAGGTTCAAAACTGGTTTGCACTCATTCTTATGTCAAACTGGCAGCATGTTCTTGTTCTATACAACTTACTGAACAACGACATTACAGTGTAATTGATTGTAATGATGACCCGATGGGATGTGAAAGGAAGTGAGCTGAGAGGTGATTGAACATAACTGTAGTAAAGTCTGTGTCTTTCTCTGTGGATAGAGGTGCATTATAGACAAAATGATTTTCCCAATGAGATATATGATGAAGCAATGAAATAGCTATAATTACCATTTTTAACATTCTGTGGATGATCCAAAGTTTTTCTCACCTGAACAGATGACAGTAGCGCTCTGACCACGTTCACATTTTTTTATTCCAAATCCACTGTGTTTACAGTCAGTTAGAGAACTTTCATTTCCTGAACAGGTCACATTATCAAGCCAAATCTGTCCAGTTCCTGGACCAAACTGAGCCGATTGAGGAGCCTTTACTGCCGACCCACAGTTCAGCTCTCTGCAAACCACCGCGGCATCATTTAAGTCCCAGCCGTCAACACAGACTGTTCCCCAGCTGTTATTGTAGTAAACTTCAACTCTGCCAGAACATTGAGTTGATCCAGACCCAGTTAATCTGACTGGACCTGTGAGGCAAAAAGATATGAAGAGTATTTTAAAATATTCCTTAAAGTAAAAAAGAGAAAAATTTCATGAATGATGCACAAGAACAGACTGACTTGCCCTGTATTGAATATCTAAAAGTTTCTCACCTGAACAGATAACACCTGTGTCATTGCCATGTCCATAGATGTGCACTCCAAATCCAAGATGCTGACACTCCGTTAGAGAACTTTCACTTCCTGAACAGGTCACATTATCAAGCCAAATCTGTCCAGTTCCTGCACCAAAATGAGCTGATCGAGGAGCCTCTAGTGCCGGTCCACAGTTTAACTGTCTGCAAACCACTGCAGCATCATTTAAGTCCCAGTTAAAATCACAGACTGTTCCCCAGCTGTTATTGTGATAAACTTCAACTCTTCCAGAGCAGTGCGTCGATCCAGAGCCAACTAATCTGATCGGACCTATGAGACAAAAGACATGCTCAATATATGAATTTGTTCCTGATATATAGATTTTGATTTTTCTTAATTGCATGAGACACAAGGACAGATTACATTTCAATGTCTTTATTATCTGAATGTTTTCTCACCTGAACAAATGACAGCAGCATCCTGACCATGTCCACATCTGTTTGATCCAAATCCACTGTGTTGACACTCAGTTAGAGAACTTTCATTTCCTGAACAGGTCACATTATCAAGCCAAATCTGTCCAGTTCCTGCACCAAAATGAGCTGATCGAGGAGCCTTTACTGCCGACCCACAGTTCAGCTCTCTGCAAACCACCACGGCATCATTTAAGTCCCAGCCATCATCACAGACTGTTCCCCAGATGTTATTGTAGTAAACTTCAACTCTGCCAGAACATCGAGTCGATCCAGACCCAGTTAATCTGACTGGACCTGTGAGGCAAAAAGATATGAAGAGTATTTTAAAATATTCCTTAAAGTAAAAAAGAGAAAAAATTTATGTATGATGCACAAGAACAGACTGACTTGCCCTGTATTGAAAATCTAAAAGTTTCTCACCTGAACAGATAACACCTGCGTCATTGCCATGTCCATAGATGTATGTTCTCCATCCACTGCTTTGGCACTCAGTCAGCGAGCTTTCACTTCCTGAACAGGCAACATTATCAAGCCAAATCTGTCCAGTTCCTGCACCAAAATGAGCTGATCGAGGAGCCTGTAGTGCCGGTCCACAGTTTATCTGTCTACAAACCACCTCAGCATCATTTAAGTCCCAGTTAAAATCAGAGACTGTTCTCCAGATGTTATTGTGATAGATTTCAACTCTTCCTGAGCATCGAGTCGATCCAGAGCCAACTAATCTGATCAGACCTATGAGACATAAGATTTAATCAATATTGGAATTTGTTCCTGATAAATAAATATTGATTTTTTTTTTTATTGCATGAGACACAAGGAAAGATTACATTTCAATGTCTTTATTATCTAAATGTTATCTCACCTGAACAGATGACACCAGCATCTTTATCATGTCCACACTTTTTTGATCCAAATCCACTGTGTTGACAGTCAGTTAGAGAACTTTCATTTCCTGAACAGGTCACATTGTCAAACCAAATCTGTCCAGTTCCTGCACCAAAGTGAGCTGATCGAGGAGCCTGTAGTGCTATCCCACAGTTTATCTGTCTGCAAATCACCGCAGCATCGTTTAAGTCCCAGCCATTATCACAGACTGTTCCCCAGCTATTATTGTGATAGATTTCAACTCTTCCAGAGCATCGAGTGGATCCAGATCCAACTAATCTGATTGGACCTGTCAGGAAAAATAATGAAGAATATTCTGAGATTGTTAATATTATTCTTCCTTACATTAACAAAAGTATTTCAGACACAACATCCAAGAACAAAGTGATCTTCAATCTCTTGAGTATCTGGAAGTTATCTCACCTGAACAAATGACACCAGCAGTCTGATAAGATCCACAGGTGTATGTTCCAAATCCACGATGTTGACACTGAGTTAGAGAACTTTCATTTCCTGAACAGGTCACATTATCAAGCCAAATCCGTCTACGTACTGCCCCAAAGTGAGCTGATCGAGGAGCCTGTAGTGCCGTCCCACAGTTTAACTCTCTGCACACCACCTCTGCATCATTTAAGTCCCAGCCATTGTCACAGACTGTTCCCCAGGTGTTGCCATAATAGAATTCAACTCTTCCAGAGCATCGAGTCGATCCAGACCCAACTAACCGGACTGGACCTGCCAGGCAATAGAAGTTATTTATATTTCAATTCCTCTTTGCACTAGAAAAACCCCAACACTTTTATAAATATATAAAGCACTTTAAAAAAAACAACAGCAAGGCTGAACAAATGCTGTGAAAACATTTAATGTATGACAGACTAGACCAGGCTGACCAACAATAACATGAGTATCTAAAATGTTTCTCACCTGAACAGATGACACCAGCATCCTGAGCATGTTCACAGTTGTTTGTTCCAAAACCACTGTGTTGACACTCAATTAAAGAACCTTCATACCAACAGCCCATGTTATCAAGCCAAATTTGTCCAGTTCCTGCACCAAAGTAAGCTGATCGAGGAGCCTGTAGTGCTGTCCCACAGTTTAACTCTCTGCAAACCACCTGAGCATCATTTACATCCCAGCCATTATCACAGACTGTTCCCCAGATGTTATTGTGATAAACTTCAACTCTGCCAGAGCATCGAGTCGATCCAGACCCGGCTAATCTGACCACACCTATTTGGCAAAAATGAAAAAAAAAAATCATCTTTAAAATGTTGGTTAGATTTTGTAGATGATACAAAGGAACAGACAGACTTTCATTTTCTTTAGTTTATAATTTTTTTTGCACCTGAACAGAAGACACCAGCATCTTGTTGATGTCCACAGTTGTTTGTTCCAAATCCACTGTGTTGACACTCTGTTAAAGAATTTTCATTTCCTGAACAGGTCATATACGAAAACCAAATCTGTCCAGTTCCTGCACCAAAGTAAGCTGATGGAAGAGCCTGTAGTGCTGTCCCACAGTTTAACTGTCTGCAAACCACCTGAGCATCATTTACATCCCAGCCATTATCACAGACTGTTCCCCAGATGTTATTGTAAAAAACTTCAACTCTGCCAGAACATCGAGTCAATCCAGATCCAGTTAATCTGATGGGAACACCTGAAAACAAAACAGGGAACATTCATTGTAAATGGTATTATGTTTAATTTTCATGACTAGTTAACTATGTTCAACATATATTCTAAAAAGTCTTAGCGTGCCATCACACATCCCATTTTTCTATTGCCCATCTATCATCATTATTAACCCTGTTTTCTTCTCGTAGTAATTTCTAATGCTGTTTGGATGCAAATGGCTCTCCTACATGCATGTAAACTGAGCACGAGGAGCATGCGGGTCTCTCCTTCTTGCTTTCTCCCTCACCACCATAAACTTTGCTACTAGTTTTCAGTTGCTTCTAGCAGATATGTTTAATTATTACTAATCAAATAATCATTCTTATAAACAAGAATCTTTCCTGCTCTTTTTCCATTGTTGAAGGAAAAGAGCAGGTAAAATTGAAGGAAATTTGAAATTGCTGACTAAGGATGAAGGAATATTTGGTAAGAGTCATGTTGCTGTGATGACACTCGGTTGCATCAAACTGATATTGAATCAGTGTGCAGTTTTACTAAAACAATGATGGACTCTGTAGTTTTCTCTCGTCCTTTGCCCTATCAGCCAGATGTGACATGTAAGCCATATGTTCTTCTTAAACTGCTGACTGACTCAGGGTTGTCCACAGAATGGACAACCAACCCCCTGAGCCACGGTCGCTATCCTTGTTGTTTGTTAATTATTTCCAGTGTTTAAGTGTTCTCTGTGCCTGCCTTGTGTTCCTGGTGTTGTGTCTAGTGTCCCCGGTTCAATATTCGTGCTATTTCATGTTTTACTTTGACAGTCCCCTGCCCTGCATCAGTGTATTCTTTTCTGCTTTATGTGTGTGGTGTAGTGTAGTGTGTATAGAGATATATCTATATATAAATAATTTTAATTATAGTCTGTGCTTCACTTTTTGTTTCATGTCCGATCGTCTGCGCCTTTGCTGGTCTTTCCCCTGTGTTTCCAGGTCTCAGGTTTTCTAGTTATGTTTCCTGTTTAGCTTTCCCAGTATAGGTTTTGTTTGTTAGTTTCTAGTTGTCATTGCCTTTGTGTGTGTGTGTCTTTGTTTGTTTGTTTGTTTTTTCTAACATTTGTATAGCCCTAACAAAAGGCGAGCCTTTTGATATCATCATCGCCAGAGGTGACAATTAGTCAAGTTGGAAGTTACTGTCAGTCTCGTTTTCCGATTGATTTCTGTTAGTTCAGTTTCGTTAATGTTGAGTGACTAAGCCTGAATCTGCTTTCCCATTATATGGTTGGTTCCTGTTCATCTTCCTCTTTAGTCTCTTCAACTGCAACTGTGTTGAGGTGTCTTATATATTAGAATCCATTGAGCCATATATTTAGGAATTTTGAAGCAAACCAACACTCTTGACACAAGAATTGTGTTAACTACAAAAATAACTTAATAAACATCAACCAACCAAAAATAGAATTTCATCCTGACTCAGAAAGGCATAAGACTTCCAAATCTAAGTTTATGACAACTATATAACACCCAAAATACGAAAAATTAATCATGAAATAAAGTTTCCCCGTTTGCAGATAAAGATTTTACCATTGAAATCCTGCATTGAATGGTGACTGTGCAGCTTAATTTGATGGCTAACGCTTAATTTCAGTATGAAACACAATAACGAATGGACAAAAAATCTATAAAGGGAAACTCTTGTATTTACAGTGTCTGACATGGTATAGATGATCGGGAAAAAAAAATTCTCACCTGAACAGATGGCACCAGCATCGTGATCATGTCCACATTTGTTTGATCCAAATCCACTGTGCTGACACTCAGTTAGAGAATTTTCATTTCCTGAACAGGTCACATTATCAAGCCAAATCTGTCCAGTTCCTGCACCAAACTGAGCGAATGGAGGAGCTCCTAGTGCCGTCCCACAGTTTAACTCTCTGCAAACCACTTGAGCATCATTCAAGTCCCAATTATCATCACAGACTGTTCCCCAGCTGTTATTGTGAAATATTTCAACTCTTCCAGAACATCGAGTCGATCCAGATCCAACTAATCTGATCAGATCTATCAGGCAAAAGATGTGAAGCAAATTCTAATGTGTCTTAAATTAACAAAGAAAAATTATGGTAGTATATACCAGTTGAACGTTTTAAAACACCCCAATTTTTCCACTTGAATTTCATGCTTTTTCTTATTTACCTTATGCCTAAATTTGTATTTTGCCATGTTTTCTTATATTGTATTGTTGCTATTGTTCTGTACTTTTGTAAGGTGACCATGAGAGTCTTAAAGGGGCCTATAAATAAAATGTATTATTATTATTATTACTAATATTATTATTATTAGTGGTCATAGTAAGCAAGTCTCAGGCTACGTCCACACGTACACGGGTAT